TGCGTACCTTTGACCCCTTACCCCGTCGTAGATGGGAGCCTTTGCGGCACTGAGGTGATGATGATGAGGAGGAGGAGGAGGAGGAGGAGTGATATATTGTTTTGTTTATTAAAATTTTCAGTTTGGTATGTATTTATGTTTTAAACTAAATTTTTTAGATTTGAAATGATGGTAAATATATTTGTATTTCTTATAAATTCAAATGTTGAATGTTTTTTGGCACAAACTAAATGGTGATTTGTAAGAATTTTTTTAAAGACTAGGAATCGTTAAATGACAAGAACCGAACAGTTAGAATGGTTCAATCCATATCGGTTCTATAAAAAATTACAAGAACTGAACCGTTATTAAGATTTGATATTTTTCAAACGGTTTCATCTATTTTTTCTAGGAACCAAACTGGTCCCAAGCCTAAAAAATACTGACTAGCAAACTTGCATTATACTGTCTCCTTCTCTTAAAACTTGACCAAGTTTGACTTGCACGGTGATTAGTTAACTAAAATTGTGTGATTGAGTTTTGTGCAGAAGAGAAAGAATTAACAAGTAACACAAATTCTTTACTTAGAAAGGAGAGTGACAAAGATAATGGGATAATCAAAAAATAAAAGTTGGCAAAGTTTCAAGGGACAGAGGAGTACAAAAAAGATTATATGTAGTACTTTTTATGAAAAAATACACATATATATTAGGAGAGAAATGAGAACGAATGTGGATCGTTGCATTATTTTATGTGCAATTGAATGTACATTATGTGAAATTGAAATGTGTATTAGGTGAAATTGAAATATGCATCACAAGATGTACGACACAATGCTATTACAAGAAGCTAAATTGTGCATTATGTGAAACTGAAATGTGTAGAATAAAGGATATGATTGAGTGACATTTTTGTACCTTTTATTCTGCATATTTCAATTTCTCTTAATGTATATTTGAGTTTTACATTCATATAATCTATGTTAATGACTTACTTTTTATTATCTCCATCTCACTTAAAAGTTCTCAAGCGGTTTACAAATTACCAAGGGCAACCCTTGTGACACCGCACCCGGATGCACTTGAATTTGAAATTTGATATGTATTTGAATTTCCTAGCGAATAAATTCGTGTAACGGATTGACCTATTTAATTATGCGTGATTAATTAAATTATTTATCGGGTCCATAATAATGACCATGGGCTGCAAAATATTTAGTTGGGTTATCGTGATAATTATAGAAGCCCAATAAAATGCCAACTGGAGTTGATAAAAATATTTGGACAACCCGAATGCAATTTTGGCCCAACCTGCCAAAAATGGCAGGAATAATTGGGAGAGACTTTCTACACCCACTTGGGGATACTATTTAAGCCAATTTGACCCAAATAATTGGGAATGGGACAAAGATGAATGATATGGGGCGGATGGAAACAAGGGGGGAAGTCTCTTAGAGACAAAGCCACACCCATGTCTCATTCATGCACTATTTGGAAGAGTGATTGGAGTGAGGATAACTCTTCCTTTTTCATTTGAGCCATACACACAAACCAAAGGCCAAGAAAGAGCTCTGGGAATATCTCTCACCAACAACTAGCTTGGAAGAAGCAAAGAGCAAGGAAATCCCAAGGGAAATGTAGCTAGAAGGAAGGTAAGAACTCATATAGTTCTTTAATTAATATTATCTTTGTATGATTTTTGAGAAATCATATGGTGGATTAAGCATGAAGTTCTACACGTTTAAAAGTGTAGAATAATGTTATAAAGTGGTGGTATTTAACTTAGAAGAGTCGTGTAATCGATAGGAGTTGAAATCGCCGGAAACCGCCACTTAAAGGAAGTTGTTCGTAGCTGCAGACCACGAAAGCCGCCGACCTTTTGCAAAAGCCGGCCGGCTTTCGTCTGTTGTCCAGATTTTTCACTTCTAATCGGTTTAGAACGGGGATTGATCGAAGGGCTTAACAAAGGCAACTATTTCAGCACTTCGTAAGGTGAGGATGACTGACTATATTTCTTATAATTAGTGAGTTAATTTCATGAGATTACCTAATGTAATTAAATGTATTTTTATGGATTATTAATGATTAATAATGCCTAAAAATAAAGGACTATTGTCAATTAAGAAAGGAGCATGATATACAAATTTAAGGATAAATTGTGTATGATTATGTGATATGAGTATGAAGGCTTGATAATGGAATTAACTATGAACTTTATATTGAAATATACTTTTTACTTCATATAAGAATATGAGAGTGAATAAAAGTTATAGTTTGTATCTTGCTATGAACTACAATTTTCAAAGGTAAATCAGTTTGGAAATGTCTATATGACTAAGAGTTGAAAACTTGAATAGTTGGAAATTATCCGACTAGTATTAAGATACTAGTCGGGGTATCGGAATAAGATTATGCTATAATTAATCCTAAGGTTGGATTGTGAAACTTAAATAGTCTTAAGAGATGCTAAGGTGGATATGTATGAACTTTAAGTTATACTAGGGGTAGGCCTAAAGGATACCCAAGGTAAAGTGAATAATAAATTGATCCTAGGTATAGGATTTGCCTATGGGTGTATTCGGTAGTCCTTAAGGGTAGCCGATTAGATTATAGTAATTAATAAGTAAGGACCATGACCCTTCCCGACTCTAGAGAGCGGGGTTGGGCAGCATGGACTTGCATCGTGATCACGAGTTAGGGTGGAATCCGAACTCGAGACCTCACGAGGCTCAGGCAGCGGTAACACATAAAAATAGGACCGTTTTGGGTGGAATCCGAACCCGAGACCTCACAAGGCTCCAACAGCGGTAACACATATAATAGGACCGGTTAGGATGGAATCCGAACCGGGGACCTCACGAGGCTCCGACAACGGTAACACATGATATAAGATGGGTGGAATCCGAACTGGAGACTTAACCGCGTTCCGGCAGCGGTAACACATAAGATAGGACCCCGAATGGGCCTCACCATCCTACGGGATGATGGGTACGAGCCCATGGGCGGGATGTTGGACTCCGACCCGAGGGCCCGATGAGGCCTCGAGCAGCGGTGACGAGTCTCGTATAAATGATAAGGCCTACGGGCGGTATCGTGCAAACGATGAATGAAATGGAATATAAAAAAGGGGCCCACGTGCCGACAAATTAATAAATTAACTTATTATAAAGATAATAAGAATTGAATAAGAAATATCATTATATTATGATATCACTCTATTTGAGGGTCTTAGAAATTGAATCATTGATTATACTTAGTATAGTTGTCATTGTACTTTTCAAATGCTTCCAAGTACTGACCTCCCCTTCACGGGGGAGGCCACCTCACAGTGTCAGGTAGAACTTGAAGGTTGCTACCATTGCCCGTTGCTCGGGAAGATCCAAGGAGAGGAGACGTGGTTCGTGCTTCTCCTGTTCCTGTTTTAAAAACATTTCTATTAATGCTCATAGATATTATTTTTCTGAATAATTATTTGAGGCTTGTATGCCCATGTTTGCCAAGTGTGGCTTGAGCACTTGTATTAATGTTTCCGCTGCTTAAATGAATATTTTACATTATGTTTGTTTATGGATGTACTATGTGTGAATGGTATTCAAGACGCCTGGTATCGTATGGATGAGTTGGACTGCGGTTGACTATTCGTACTGTACGGCGGGTTGTCGACGTGGCCGGTAGGTCCGCGGCGTGACAGCCCTGATAGTTTCAAGGCCTAGGGGCAAATAGTTTATAATGAGCCTAACTTTTAATTTTTTTTTGTCTAAACTAATGCATAACAATAATACTTCAAAAATTGTATAATAAAGGAAAGACTTTTATAATTCGTTGTATTAAGAAAGTAAAATTACACTTAGAGAACATTTCTGTTACACCTTGAAATTTATTATTTTTATAAATTTAATGAAAATCCATTTTTTTACTGAAGAAAATTTAAAACTATCACGAGATGATTTAATTTTATCATCAGTCAACATTAAAATTCAAAAATTGCAACTGAAATCGGGACGGATAAATTATAAATCTGAATTTGCGATTTCACAATCAATTAGTCAAAAACTAGGTGACTAATCAACGAAAATGTAAATTCAATGAAAATAAAAAAAAAGTGAAAAGCTATGATAACTGATCTTGAAATAAGTAAGAGCACAAATGTAAAATATACAAGAACATAAGAGTAATAAAAGATATAGAGGACTCGAGGTTATCAGAAGTTAGCATCCTATGTTCGGATTATGAAGGATAAAAGGCTCAAGAAGTTGATGTATCCACTTGAGTATTGACTGATAGTATTTTATAATGAGGAATCAGAATATTGAGGTTTGAACTTTGAAGAAGTGAGAGCCTAAATGACGATTCAGTGATAGACACCGGCCATACAGAGAGTCCTTTTTTTTTAGAAAAATTGTTTACGCCTTCAAATCTCTATTCTCTAGCTATGCCGCATGAAATTAGTGGATATAGCGTAAAAACTCAGCCTACTCACTCTTAATATAAAGCCTTAAGACTGGGCCTAATTTTTTTACACTTTTTTTGGGCCTTGGGCGCCCGCCCCTGCTGCACCTCCCCTAGGGCCGCCCCTGCAAATTACAATGTTTGACAGACCATAAAGTTAACTGATCCATATCAAAAATCAAATTTGATAAAAATTAGATATACTCCACATAAAATAAAAGACTCAAACAATTTACGTGGAAGATAGTGGACAAAAATTTTAAACGAGATGTATGTAGTACGTAGTAGTACTTTACTACATTTGGGATTAGTGTTCATGACTTCATTATTTTAACCATGTCCATGTTTGTATGGTACTGTATGTTTGAGAGTTGGGTTTCCTAGGAAAGAGTGTGGTTGACAAAGATTTATAACATTTCTTTCTTGTTTGAGAGTTAAAAAATACGGAGGCGATGTTTTGGATGGTTTTTGTAACCCTCCAAAACCGTTCAAATGCTCAACTTCAAGTTCCCCCAAATTGAGATAATTTGAAGGATAACTAATTAAATTACAATTTTAGCTTAATTTCAAATAAACGTAAACACACTTATTTGAATTCGTTTTAATTATATTTATATTCATCCAAAACTTTTATCTTTTCAAACTTGTTACTCGGTTTCCAACTCTTTCCTTCCTCTTCCCTGACCTTTAAAACATTCCTCACCTCTTACAAACTCCCAAACATACCCTTCATGAATATACGTGGCAAGAGTAAGCTTCAAAATTGGTGGAGTAGAAAAGGCTTTGGTCCAACAATTAGATACAAAAAAAAAAGTAAATATCTGGGTGAGTAAATTGTCGCGGTAAAAAACCTTCACAACAAATAATCTTTATTTTCTCTACTACTCCGTACTAAATAACAAACTTATCTATCCTTTTCTCGAATTAATTGATTTTGTGTGTAACTTTTTTATTAGCATGCATGAAAAGAGCATTGTTTTGAATAATTATTTATAAATTTCTTCGATGACATTGTTTTTTGGAACTTCAATCTACATTTGAATACCAACAAATTTCTTCAACTCCCCCTAATTGTAAAGGCCATCTGGAATGCATGTATTTATCTTTTCTTACGGCTTTAAATATCTCATAGCAATGAATTAAGATCATCTTCAAGCTTTTGTCTTTCTGGAATATATAATGAAATGGAAAGCGGATTAGATACGAGATTATTAATATGATGTTATTATTGATGCAGGATTTCTCATTAATTCAGACCAATAAAAAATGAGGAGGAATCCCCTGAAAAATTCTAAAAGTTCTGTGAATGAGGCAGGGACTTCTAGTCGATATGATGATTCAGCCATTTCTTCCATTGCGAGAAGCATTTCTATGAGATCAGGTTACATATATTTGTTTTTTAAATTAAGTAACTCTCTAATTAAATTTACAGGAACACACAGTATTCCATTTTATGCATTTGCTTTCATATAATCCCATCCCATTTTCAACGAAAAAGGGACAAAAATATTAGCTCTAGGATTTTTTAAATCTAAATAACGAATAATTTTCATTTTTTCAAAATATGACAAATCATTGTATAGTTTATTTAAATTTCCTCTTTTTGTCCAAAACTAGTCTTATTCTTGTCCAAAACTATATGAGTTGTAGTTTGGTCACTCTTTTGTAAGAATGTCCTTCCTTTCTGTTGTATACTTTGTACATAGGAGTTTTTTGGGTATAGTTGTTGATGAAGATTAACTCTAGTAACTTTGTTTGATTTGATGAACTAACAAAAATAAACATGTATGTGATGACTGATGAATGAAAGGTGCAGGGGTGAGCAAGAAAAAAATGATAGCTGAAGACATTCTTCGGTTTGGAGAGATGAGAGTTGCAGCAGAACTATTCACATTTCACGAACTGGCCAAAGCAACAGACAACTTCAACCCGGAGTTGCTGGTGGGAGAAGGAGGGTTTGGGAGGGTATACAAAGGACATATAAGAAGAACTAATCAAGTAATCCCATTTTTAGCTTATCACTCATTTTTTACTACACGCGTAACTTTTGGATTAACATAATCTCATTTTAACTATTCTTTATATAATATTTCCATAATTCAGTATATTCAGTCAGTTTAGCCATAGCCATTACAGTCAAAATTTCATCAACTTCAGTAGATTCAGTAGTCCAGCCAATTACAATGTTACCAAACGAGTTTTGAGTGTTCATTATTTCCTTATGTGTTCTTCTTGACTACTTGCCTCGCATGTATGTGTGCAGATTGTCGCAGTAAAGCAGCTGGACAGGAACGGAATTCATGGAAATAGGGAATTCCTAGCTGAGCTCTTGACTTTAAGTCTTGTTCACCACCCAAATCTTGTGAACCTAATTGGGTATTGTGCTGATGGGAATCAAAGACTTTTAGTGTACGAGTTTATGCACAACGGCTCTTTGCAAGATCATCTTTTCGGTATCCATGCATATTTTCATATGGTCCTTAACATGCCATATTAAAAGTAGTAACTCAAATCTTTATGTGTTGGGTTATGAATAGTTTGCATGCAGTGTTGTAATGATAATGATATCTGCTTCTCAGATTTGTCTCCAAATAAGAACCCTCTCGATTGGTATACGAGGATGCAAATAGCCAAAGGTGCGGCCCAAGGGCTAGAATACCTTCATGACACAGTTAATCCTCCAATTATCTATTGCGACTTCAAAACATCAAATGTGTTATTGGACAAGTCTTTCAATTCAAAGCTATCAGGTTTTGGTCTCGCGAAACTAAGTCCAAACGAAGAACAAGATCACGTGTTCACAAGGATAATGGGGACCTATGGGTATTGTGCGCCAGAGTACGCTAATGTTGGGGGACGACTTACAACCAAATCTGATGTTTACAGCTTTGGGGTTGTCTTACTAGAGATTATTTCGGGAAGGAGAGTTATTGATAATACTAGACAAAATGAGGAACAGAACCTTGTTTCTTGGGTTAGTCTTTGTTATAATTTATTTGTTGGTTCTGTAATTTAAAATTGTCAGACCATAAGTCTTTCAAGTTTATTATTTTCTGTCACTTTGCAGGCAAAACCACTTTTGAATGACAGAGAGAAATTCAAAATGTTGGCAGACCCTATGCTTGTAGGGAATTACCCAACAAAAGGCATGTACCAAGCTCTTGCAATTGCATCGATGTGTCTTCAAGATGAAGCTAATACACGACCTTTGATTGCGGACGTTGTCAGTGCGCTTGAGTACTTAGCAACGCCTGACGAGGAATGGAATAGAACGACAGAAGTAGATGAAGCAGATTGCATACTCATTCAGAAAGGCAAAAACACTTACACAACTATGTAATACGAAAAGGGATTGTTGGTAACTTTTGTGTGAAAGATTAACTAACAAACTAACTGATGAACTTCAAGACAGTCCTAACACAAAATCCTATGATGTGAAAATTCAAGTAGAAAGCACATGGAGTGACTATAATGATAATATATGAGTGTGAATTTACATTTTTCTTGCCTAGAGGTACTTCTTCAGTTTGTTATACTAAATATAAGAATATATACAACTGGTCATTGCATTGCAAAAGCCCAAACATCACTATGAGTAAATATATAATGTAACAGACACTTCAGTTTGAGAGTTGGGGTTGATCTCACACTCTAGTTTTAGGACACTCTAGTTATTGATATCTCTGAGGACAAGCGTTGGGTCGATTTCTAAATGGTATCATGGCCATCCATTTCTAAACTAGTTATCCCAAGGCTTGGCTTCGATATATGGGTGTTTGGTATGTAAGATTTTATGGACTTCACCAAGCATTCCAGCCCAGCTGGTTGTGAGGTTATCGTGTCTAGTGAGAGGTCTCGAGTTCGAAACCCGCTAGGCATATAAGGGTTCGAAACTCAATGAAGTGGGTTTCAGCCCTGATTACTCCAGGCTCCCTCCCCCAAACCCCCCGGAGTAAAAAAAATCATCACTATGTTTGAGATACCATGGCATAGAAGGATACCAAATTATTTTTCTAAAACTCTCGCAGTTTTTTCCCAATCTGCAAATTATGGATCCTATTTTGAAGATGTTAGCATCATCAAACGAGATCAAACACACACACACAAAAAACGACATCGAATTGATGTAGTATTAAAATATGATGCTGACAATGTCTGAATCTGATGAGATATATAATAAAATAAGAGAAAGCTGATGAGAGCAAAATATTCAAATCTGGTTGGAATCAGCCTTAAGATTCACATAACTAAACCTTTGGATTTCATTCAACATATGCCTATCCGTAGAGACATTATCCACCAGAGAGCAAACACCTAGTAGTAATCCTCCTCCACTTGCCCTTCTCTTCTTCTTTTTCCATTTCAGCATCACGAAAATGAAACCGGGCCATGAAGAATGAGTTTTAGACTTTGTCGAGGTCATTGACTCACTTGAGTGCTCCGATTTAGGCCTTGTCAAATGTTCAATTTCCCTGTTTAAGAGTGATCCTATCGTCCCCTGTGAACCAACATCAACCGGACCGTCTTGTAACCTTCTACAGGATCTGAAGAACATTTTCCTGTGTGTAAAGAAAAACTATGAAAGGATTCTTGTAGATGAGTGCTCTCTTTAGCTCCTAATGATGTGAGTAGTTAAAGGCGTGCTGATTTTCCTCAATAGGGACACCATTATATTTTTTGAATGTATTGTGGGATATGTAGATAAGTAGATTCAATCAGAACCATTCTTCCTTACGGCCAAAGTATCTTTTCCCTAGTATAATGTACTAAAATTCATCTTTCTTTTTGACTTTGTGTTTTACATCGTGATTGAAGCAATTCCAAACTAGCTGTTTACCTACACACTGAGAGCTTTTCATTAGACAATGATTTTAAAGAGAATATATGTCTAAGAAAATAAAAAAAATGTCACTTTTAATGTGTTTTGACAAATGATATTACACCCGATATTGGGATCATAGTGCTATACTGCTATTCATTTTTTCACTGCAAAAATCACAATTATATTTTCACTGATTATAGTAGCCATATCATTATTTATTGAGTAATGCTTCGTGTACACACCAGGCGTGTAAACACCACTTTTTACACGCCCACACGGACAATTAGTTTAAAAGTTCTATTTTTTTTAACAAATTGCCCATCTACACGGGCAATTAGGGATGAGCGTGCATAAAAATGTAAAATGGCATGTACAAGTGATTTTTTCCTGATCTTTTGTTCATGAACTGCATTGCAGTAATATTACAGAGAAAAAACTCAATACACACATTAGGGATGAACAATTCTGTTTACGGCTTATGATTTTGACTTTAAAATGGACTGAATTGACTAAAACAACTAAAATCAATACAAACTGCACGAAAGTAACCAACCGAAAGTGACCGAAAATGACTCGAGGGATATGATATGGTTAAAGGTTTCACCCTTCTTAAAAGGCAACATACCACAAACCAAATTGAAACAACCGAACCAACCAATAATCAATAATGATTCTAATTAACCAAATAAAACCCCTCTTCCTTCAGAATTGAAGCCTCTCAGCAGCTAAATCAAATATTTGTTCCAATTCTCGTTTGACTCCATCATCAGCAAAGATGAAGCATATGGCATTCCTTGCCAGCTCAAACATCTCTTTTTTTCCTATACCTTTGTTTTGCCAAAACCAAAACCACACCAAGTCAGAAATAAAGGTATTATAATCCTATAAAAATAAACATTTATCTTTCTATATACAAACCGCTGTGGGAAACCAGCATGAATTCCCGCCCAAATGTAGCGGGTCAAATAGCTGAGTTCGGGTCAAAAAGGGTCCATCAACTGGGGTCAAGTATTGAGTGGAATAATGCATTAATTGTGGTCAACAGTTTTATTCAGTTTAACAGCCTGTATGATGATGGCAACGGATGCATTAATTGTTGTAGCAATGTGTCATGTCAAAACTTTTTTAGTCGTAAAAGCATTAGCTAATTTGAATACGAAATGTAATTTGGAACAGTTTGAATTCGAATTGTGAACACACTTTGCAAAATAAGTGATTACAAAAGATTTGGCATTTATTGATTTGTACTCTCTTATCTCCTTGAGCCGCACAACATATTAAAATATATCTAAAAAGTACATTGGCAATAAATGCTAAACAACAACGCAAGCTTCCTTTTTGCAAAAAAAAAAAACGCAAGCTTCCTGTGAACTGAGATATGCAAGTTATCCCATTAAATAAGTGGCGTATAACAAAACTAAGCTACTTTATTGGGCATTGTGGGCTGTCTAATCAAATTAAAAGACTGAACATTATTGACCATTGGGTATATAGAAATAGAAATATATTGAGAGCAGTTCAAAATTTTAGTATAAATAAGTTCAACCCAATCACACATCCAGAGCAACAAGCATAGCATTTGAAGTTTGACTGCAAATCAGGAGTCACATGCACAGGAAGTAATTTTCAACGATGAAGTAAGTTCAACCCGATCACACATCCAGAGCAACAAGCATAGCATTTGAAGTTTGACTGCATATCTGGAATGGATGCACAGGAAGTAATTTTCAACGATGAAGAGGTATATTGCTTCAAACTTTTTTTCAAAAATTATGCAAATATGATTAAAAATGACCCAAATGGGCAGGACTGTTGAAAATATGGAAGTTGATAACCATGATGAAGGGGTATGCAATATGCCTTAAACACTTGAAAAGCTTAATAATAGATTTTAATGTGTTTTTAGTAATGTTAGTCTAAATGTTTCCTTTTTGATGCAGTCTTTTTAACAGTTTGGCATTAATCTGGGAAAGGCTGTTTCTCAAACTCATAGGTTTCATTGTTAACATCCGAAAGGTAAATATAAAAGGGTAAAACTAAGAGCATTTTGGTATATAATTTCAAATACCCGGATTTTCAAAAGTACAAAGGTGTTAGTGAAGAAGACATGACATTTTTCTAAAAATATTAGAATGTTTAGTTAACAATTTGAATTCCTATTACAAAAAATAAGAAGATTTTGTTCAAACATTGAATACTTGGCAGTTTATTTTGAAAATAACCTGCCTCTAATTGTATTTAAAAGCAAAAGGTAAAAAAATGGATGTTAGGGGGGGGTGGGGTGGGGCATGAAGATCATACCTCAGAGTTCGGCATCAATAATAGAACCCTGCAGTCCCTAATCATAACCAATTGATAATGTATTACATTTCACTTTAGAGTGATACACATTTGGGCACCTTATTCAAGATCCTCTGAGTTTACATTTTATAAAGAATGAAATTTTAACTCAACCATATTCAATCTTTTTGGAATAGACTTGCAATATAAAAGATAAAATCGTGTTAAAATGCATCTTTGAGACTCACACGTAATAAAAATATATTGTGTCTAAAGACCATTTAGTTTGTAGAAAACAATGTATAAAGTAAACTATAAAACTAGAGCATTGAACATTTCCATATAAGATCAAAATTAATAAGATACTTTTAATATAAAAGGCAGGTCAATATGCAATTGATATTAGATATTTTCAATTTATAAAAAGTTATGAATGTGTGCTCAAATGTAGGAATCTAACTTTAAGTTGTGAACAGGTAGGACAGAACTAAGTTGGATTTAGGTAAAACCATGGCCAGCCTATTGATCAGTAAAATTATTAAATCAAATAAATTTTCTAGAAAAAAACTAATTTTAAAGGTCTCTTTCATCTAACCAAGGATCATAAGCAGGCCTTAATGAGCTTTTTGAAATATACAATGACAATTATATGTATTAATGAATTAAAAAAAGAAAGCAGGCTTTGATTAAAGGCATGCATATTCACTTGCTACTAACCAATGCTTATTGATCAACTATACTTCTTTACTACGAGAGTACATAATCTAGAAAGCATCTCTTAAAAGAATGCATCTTTAAGTCTCTATCTGATGAAATTATCTCCAAACAGGACTACAGGTTCCTACCCAGCACATTGCTGGACCAAGCAGATCTGTAGTGATCACATGATGAGACAAGAGATTGTTGTGTGTATTACATAAGGTTGAGGTATTGAACAGTTACAAAATCAACAACAAACAAAATCTGGGATTAAGTAGTTTTAAAATCTTCCACGCCAAAGATGGCAGTTTAGTAAACAATCTACTTCCTTTCCTCTTATATTTTATTCCAAACCAAACTGAAGTTTTACTATTATGTTTAAGTAGTTTAAGCTGTTCAATTTACAAGCTATTGCTCTAATCGAGTAACTTATATTCCATTTGAAGTTTATTTATTTCAAGCAAAAACCGTTGGGATAGAAAAAGTGTTTCACTGCCTTTTTTAGAATAAAGTCTGCTATTGTGACCTAAATTATACTACGTAATTACGTATATTTAATAAATATTATGAACGAATTCAGTTTTTAATGCAGGTATCACAAACCATTGTAATTAATTTAAAAAATCTTATAAGATGTATCCGAAATACAAATGTTTGTTTTATCTAGGGTTTAAATCAAGACCACATATATTATAAAATAGATACTGGCTAAAAGGAAAGGTCGGTCTAGCACCTTCCCTCAGCCGTCACTCAGCTGAGATCCTTGCACCCTCACTAAGCTATCTTCACTACAGCTAACGAAAAACAAGATTGGTCTAGAATAAACTAACTTCACAGTATAAAAATTCAATAAATTGACTACATCCTTTAAATAAAAAGATTTACAAATTCATGCAATAGAAAATTGGTAAAATACAGTAAGCATGTAAGTTTTACCGAAACGATGAAAGGAACAATTAGGTCAGAGATCTTTGAAGCTCATTCAGCAATCGTAGTCCTAACAACGGTCGAATAAGGCTTTATCGGACAAATGGACACTCACTTCAGAGAAATGTGACGGTTGACTATGGTGGTATGAGATTACAGACGACAAAAGAAGACATACGAGAAGGTGGGGGAAAGGTGGGAAAGATGGGAAAAGTAGAGGAGAGAACCGATGGTCCGAGCGATTAGCCGCAGGGTAAATGAATTTGGCGTAGGGTAAAGGTCGTATATATATATATATATATATATATATATATATATATATATATATATATATATATATATATATATATAGGTGGTCCTCATTCTTAGGCTGTTAAAAATACGGAGTATTATTTTAATAAAATTAATTAATATTTCTTAATAATTGTTAATTACGGAGTATTAAATTTTTAAAACTGTTTTATTGTTTGTAATTACGAATGTAACACGTTTATTTATGTGGTTCACTTTCTTTTATTGGGGCATTGAATTTATCTATTTTCATATGTATCAAATTTGAATTTATATGTATTTATATGTTTATTTATTTAAATAATTTTTTAAAAAATTTAAAATTAAATTAAATGAATTTCTTTTTCTTTGCTTTAATTCTGCAGAAAACCCTAATTGTAGGGACGATAGTCATCATCCTTCTCGATTGGTTGGAATCGGTTCCAGCTCTTCTAAATATACAAGATGAATTGCAAAGGCGGGAGTCTCCAATATATTAGTACGTAGACAAGACAAATAGTTGATCATATTGATCATACTACCAATGTTGTTTACAAAGAAGTCTTTCGAAATTTGTATTTTCACCGTAAACACTTGCTATTTTACTTATCACTTCATACTTTCAAATGGTAGTATCTCTTTAATGATATTTACATTTTTCCTTCTTTGACAATGTTTTAAACTTTCTTTAACTATGAACACTTATTATGTTACTTATCAATTTATTATAAGTTCAATCATCTCTATGTTTTTAATAGATATCTAAGTCACACATTGGTCAATTTTTTTCCGTGCATCGCACGGGTGAGAATCTAGTTTGCACATACAGGTGTGTGGGGCCTACCGAATGCAGAAGAGGCAATGTCATATTCACGAGATGCGGTGGTAGAGAAAACACCACTATCATCAGTACACAACACGATCGGGTGCTTAGAATAGTACAAATCAGCTGCAAAGGAGTAATAATTAACTAAAGGTTATTCCTCCCTATTTCGATTGCCTACCATTTTCCACATTCTGCGCGACCCAAAAGGTATAAAGAAAGTATCATTAGATTTTCTAACCGAAATGATGAACATCCAACGAAGAGATGGTTCCAGTTGTGATGTTGGACGTCAAACAAATTTCAACCTGAAAATCACACAAGAGACAATTTGAACTTATTCTCATTATATCAAATGTACTGATGGTATCAAGAAAAAATGAGCTTTTTATGGTTATAAAATATAAAGGGTATGTTTGTTTCCTGTAAAAAAACTATAGATAAGGGAATTCTGCTAAAGATGTATTCTTATGTTTGGTTATACCTAGGGAAATGCAAAGAAATGTAATTTTTTGTATTTTTTTCTTTTTCAAGAACTGCATATATTCAGATTTACTATTAAAAAAGTATAACTAAATATTAATAATATATTAATTGAATTTCAGTCCATCTTTTATTTTCTCCCACATTTTCTATCCTTCCAACTCTCATCTCTGTTTCCCTTTCTATTTTTGTTCCCTGATATTTCCTGAATTCCAATCTGACCATAAGAAAGCAAGGAATATGGCAGTATCAACTATCAAGCATCATATGGATGCATCTGAGGAATGCATATTCACAAATGTGTGTACAATGTACACATACGTGTATGATAATCAAAGACATAAATGCTTAAGCAATCCAACCGGAATCATAGAGGACTTCAGTTTTTTCCACTCCTCTTCTTTGAGGTAACAAGCATGGCCAATTCTTTCCGGTAGAAAATCTAGCATTTCATTGATTTCTTTGGGGTTTGGCACCTAAAAAAGCACTAAGAGTGAAAAGGCCAATCAGAAAAAGCTCCACAGATATGAGACCTGCTAGTCAAATTTTAATTGGGAAGCTAAGTCAAACGCACCTCTCCACAGTGAAGAGTTATTAAGAGTCCCATTTCTTTAGCAAACTCCAGCGCTGGTAGAAACGTTTTCCTATGCATATAAATACTGAGAAATTTTAAAGGGGTTTTTCCTATAATGATATTATAAATAAAATAGAGCTCAGAGACGAAAATATGACTGCATTGTCACAACAGACGCCGCGATAATACTATCATAGTAACTGCAGTGAAAAAAGCAACATTATTGTGGTCACTATAGTGGATGCGAAAATATTAATCCAGTCAATGTGTCATCATCATCATTACCCCAGCGCCGCAAAGGCTCCCACCGTAGGTGGGGAAAAGGGGGAGTCGGATGTACGCAGCCTTACCCCTGTACTAGAGAGACGGTTTCCGGATGACCCAAAGTGAAAATCGCGTCAAAAATTGGATAGACTGACTGCTACTTCATAACAAAGAAGCGCAGACAGTTTAGTAAGCCATTTTTCTTTATTCCATCATATTCCCAAGCCAAAAAATAGTGAGTCTTTGACTCAATTGCAAATGATGGAAAATGTGTGTCGAAAGTAAAATATTTATTCATTATTTTTACTTTAGTCATATAATTTCGTCATTGCGATTTGAAAACTGATAATAGAACATCATTCATCATCATTATCATTATCCCAGTGCCGCAAAGGCTCCCACCTACGGTGGGGTAAGGGGGGTCGGATGTACGCACTTACAAGGGTTCTCGAAAGGATAATAGAACATACAAAATATAATTGTTAAGTTAGGCCTAAATTAGCTCAAAAGGGTTCTCGAAATGTTAGGATTACCTCACACTTACATACTAGACTGTAGAGGTTAAGTACTCAAGACACTCCCCTCAACCTAAGTCAGGTTGGACAATTGAAGGATGGTGAAATGGATCAAGACAGCGGCACCCACAAGGCACAAACCCAGTATACAACAGATAATAGTTACTTACCAAATTGGCCTCAACAATGCTTGCAAAGAATCTCTTACAAATAATAGTAACTTACCATTCACCAATAACAGGATTGCCTGAGAGGTCAATACCCACTACCCCTAAATGTCTCATCTCCATAGCAAGCTTAACCTTCAAACAAATAATCTAACAAACATCACCAGCAGAAAACAATCACTCTGTACTATAAAAGATATTAACAAAACCAATATTTTTCATTCCAATAGTATACAGTTTCCATAGCAGCTTCAGTGGTCTCACGCCTATCTATACTCAGAAGAAGTCTAACATAAATCTTCTTTCTTTGTGTTCCATTTATCCCACCACCACATTGCGTATGAGCATTAAGATGGCTTTTTACATCTGAATCATGAAGAATATCAACATCAACTGTGCTGACGGCCTTTAATCCTTCCAGGACTGCTTCCATGTAGGACGCTTTTGTCATTCCTTTTGAATCATTTCTCTGCATTTGGGGAGATTATTGTTCCAGTTGCACTTTAAAATTCTAAAGGGAGAAAAATATGTTTATAAGACCTTGGTTGAACTAGCTAATTGTTTGTGAAAAGCACTCGTCTTTTAGTGTGGTCAATCATGTTCATTATCACTCAGTTGAGTAACCGCATCCAGTCAAGAACTTTAAAAAGAGGTTTAATTTATCTATGTTTCTAAATGCTCTGCACACCAAATATTACTATTAAGAATATCAAGAATTCAAGAATCAAGATACAAACTTATTCATTCATTCATTCATCATTACCCCAGTGCCCGCAAAGGCTCCCACCTACGGTGGGGTAAGGGGGGGTCGGATATACGCAGTCTTACCCCTGTACAAAAGTACAAAGAGACCGTTTCCGGATGACCCATAGTGAAAATCGCGTCCAAAATGCATGGACTGACTGCAACTTCATAACAAAGAAGCGCACACAGTTTAGTGAGCCATTTTGCTTTATACAAGATACAAACTTATATATAAGATTTTTAATTAGCCTACATAAAAGATTAACTTTTTAGTGTCTCCGAGTATTTTGGCTACACCTCTTATAGGTTTAATCTTTTAGGATGGCAACCAAAGTCTTTTTATAAAATACCTTAGGAGTTGTCCTTAGCTCCAAGTATACAACATTCTCCGCAGCAAAATCTTCAACTACCTCTTTGGTAATTCTGGTGACAGTCTTGTGGTTTGTGGTAAGAACATGAATCAAGTCAAACACTTTGAATACTTCATAAAGTGAACGATCATCTGAGAATCAAAACAAAATGTTTCTGAATAAATTGTTGAAAAGATTACATTTTTAGGAAGTAACAAAATTGACCTAGTTATTATTAAAAAAATAGGAGATAGGGTGCATACTTTTCAGTATAACATGTTCCACATCTGAGAAAACAATTACCCCTTTCTCCCCCAATTCTTTGGCTAGCTCCCTGCAAATAGACATAAATCACATGAACATTACGCGAATAGAGTCAAGGATTCTTACACTAATCGCCCACAATGAAGAGAGAATCTTATGAAACAGTCTTTGGAACCCTGGATAGCAAGTATGGAGTAATATCATTCAATTCTTTGAGTGGAGATTCAAATATGTAAACCAAACTAACAGAAGTTGCCATGTAAAGCTATCAATAATGCAAGAATGCGAGGATGGAATATTGGAACAAAAGAGAGCGACTAAAAAGGCAAAAAAAATTGGGGTGAATGAAAGCGACCATACAATAGAGTGGAGTTCCTGATAGAGCCATTAAGGTGCGCGTGAAGTTCCAGCTTTGGCATGGAAACCCACCAATCCATCATCCCTATCTTTAGCTGGGTTCGCCTGTTCTTCAATTTCTCTGATTCTTGGAGCAGCACTTCAATGGGGCATTGGATAAAGAAATTAAACACCGTATTTTTTGATAAACTGAGCCACTGCGGACATCTCAAAGGTCAAAACATTCCATAGCTTATGTCTAAGCTGGTCAAACCACAAAAAATGTCAAAGAAACCCAAATTTCACGTACTAATAAAAATATTAGGACTGAGTTTTTTTTATAGTAAGGTGCTTATATTGTTAAAATAACGTTCAACAGGGGTACATGAACGTAAAAGGACCACATGTAACCATCCGCCCTTAATCGAGATTGTGAGTTAATCACCTTTGACAAAGCAATATAACTCGCTAAACCTAACTTGGGCAAAATAAAGGCAACGACGATTACCGTAGACCTCTCATCCCTCAAACCTAATGCAAAAGTCTTACAACAACGAAAATAATAAAAACACAGCATAACAGCATGAACGTGGGAAAAACAACAAAAACAAACAATAAAATAACGTTCATGGGCTCTAGCACCTCGATCAACCCGTGGTGGTGGTTCTGGAGGAGGTCGTGCCATCAGTACCACTCTAATTGATCTTTCATTGTCGAACCTCGTGCAATTCTCCCCATCCCGCAGTCGTAGGAAAATCGCCACTAGCGGTCATTTTCTTCGCTACCAAGCCCCCTCCAACCCAGACTCTGCCCCGAACAATCTGCATCCCTGCACCAAAATAGCCTCCAACCTCGCTCCCCTGTCTAGTTGGTTTGCGACGCCCCAAACAAAGCCCTCGTAGCCGAAAAGAAAAACGATAACCTGTAAAGGAAGATAAGGAGCAAACACGAGCAGACCCGTGCTCTCCTAGCTTTGCCGATGGAACGCCGGCCCAACCTATGCCGGAGCTTAGGCGGCGGAAAACTAACCCTACGAAAAGAGGGAGATGACCGCAATAATCGTAGCTTTAGGACATGTTTACTTTGATGGTAAGCTCACCGTTAGCTTACTAAGAAGCCCGAAGTAAACGTCCGACCCTGGGTAAAACAACGCTTGCTAAGCAATTGACCCTATTAATCGGCGCTTATGAAGCGCACGCCCCCCCCCCCCCCCATGTTTTATTTAACCGGTGAGTTAAGCAATTCATTATCGACGATTTTGCCCTTATTTCATACGCTTATAATATTTTTATTACATGTATACCCTAGCCGCAGCCCTTCTTCTTCTCACGACATCTCATCTCATTTTCTGCCTAACTTCTTTCTCTCCCAGATCGACACCGGCGGAACTCCTCCATGTCCCAATCGACACCTCAGGTAAAACTAACCTTTAATAGTTATATTGTGTGAGATAGATTGTGGAAATTGCTTGATAAAAGTTTAAACCTAACCTGCTATTCATATACTATTTCGAAATCGTATGGCTATTTCCGGATAAGTGTGGAGGTAGGGTTATACGTGGTATTGAATTTGGACCCGACGTTCCAAATTATCCCTGCAATTCACTTTTTTGTTCTTTGATTTCTTCACCTTCCCAGCATATTTTCTTGTGTGTTTGTACACTGCACACCAACTTTCTCTTCATTCCTCTCTAATTATCCTTTTTTCATGTTGTGCTATTAAGCAATAGTCCCTTTCCTGCAGGTTTTGGTTAGTGAGTAAGGTATGATAATGTTCCTATCCATTAGTGAAAAATAATGCAGAGTATCTTTTAAAATTCGTTTGACTCGTTTGACATTTTCTGTTGGACCTGCACCAACTATACATAGCAAAATATAGCTAAAAATAATTGTCTTTTGACAATAGTAGAAAATCCCTTTAGCAAGAGACCAGTGCCTCCAGATGCATAATTGTCTTTTGAAATAATTGTCTTTTGACAATACTGCTATTTGGTTGACTTTGAGACATTTTTATAATATTTTAAGTGACAAAAAATTCATTAGCAAGAGACCAGTGCCTCTAGATGCATAAATTATTGCTTTGTTTTAACATCCCTTTAACCTATATGTCTTCACCACTTCCATAGTTTTTTAGTCTGCTCTAATAAATCACTTTTTTAATATGCTTGGTGTTAAAAGTGAGAAGGAAAATGTAAGGATCGAATAGTTAGATTTACAAAATGAAATAGGTTAGATTTAATATAGAAATTCAACCCAGCTGTCTTTTGAGATTTACAAATTATCACAAAATGAAATAAGGAAGTGTTGGCTGGGAGTTAGTATTTTATAACTGTTGTTGCTTAATGGATTTGAAACACTGATTGAACAGAATCCTCATCCCTTGCTCGCTCCAAGTCCTTGGGCTGTTGAACAGAATCCAACCACACCGGAATGGATGTGTTATAATTGAGAGTAATTCTATTTTGTGTGTCAACATTTCATGTGGCTTTCGAAAATTTGTTTTTGTGTTTGTTTTCAAGATGCCTCGTGTTGAAAAAGCAACTAGAAGGAAATGGACTATACAAGAAGACCAAACTCTTATTGCTTGCATGGTCGAATTGTATAGCGGTGGCACACATAATGGAAAAAAAGGAGGATTTGAAGCAGGATATTTAAGCGTGCTAGCAAAAATGATGTCTGAAAAGTTACCTCATTCTCACTTGGATGACAAACCACACATTGAATCTCGTATAAGAACACTCAAACAAGTTTGGCAAGAGTTTTATGACTTATTAAATGGCCGCACTGCTTCATTAAGTGGATTTGGATGGGATTCTACAACAAAAATGGTTACCGCTTCTAATGAAGTCTGGAAAGCTCTTGATGAGGTAGCATGATTAATTAATTTTTTTTTATTATGTCTTAACACTTTCCTTTTTTTTGTATTAATATGATTATTTAATTTCAGAGTAAACCCAAGGTTGCAGCACTAAGGCGAAAGAGTTTGTGGTATTATGAAGACTTTTGTACTATTTACTCGGAGGATCGTGCTACTGGAGCTACAGGGATGGAGTGTGAAGATATGGTTGAAGATACAGAGTTGGACTCAATATTTGAATCAGAACACGTGGAAGAAGTAAATGACTCCTCCATGACTGGTATTGCTAATAACAATCCATCAAAGAGAGTTGCGGCCTCTGCTGCCAATAACCGTGGGAAGAAGAAGTGCAAGAGCAGTTCAAGCATTGATAATTTTTCATCTTTTGTAGAGGCTGCTTCTATTAGACTTGAAAGGGCGGGATTGGAGATGTCGAGGGTGGATACGGATATCGCTGATAAGACATCACGCCTCCCAAGTGCTTTAGATCAACTTGAAGGCATGACTTATATGATGAAATATAAGCTTATGGAGAAAATGGGAAAAAACCAAAGTGAGCTCTTGTACTTTTATGCTTTGGCAGATGAAGAAAAGATGAGCTGGTGCAAGTGGTATTTAGGCGACAATTCATGATACATTATCGCAATGAATATTTTGAATTTCTCTGAAGTTCTTAATTCTCGATGGATGGTTTTATCTATTTTGTAACTATGTTAGACGATTTCCAGATTGATGGATGGTTTTATGTATTTTGCAACTATGTTAGACGAATAGACGATTTCCAGATTGATGGATGATTTTATCTATTTTGTAACTATGTTAGACGATTTCCAGATTCGTGCTTTAATTTGATACTTTAACTATCGTATAGGATGATTTATCTATTTCATTTCTCCGTGCTACAACTTCAATGTATCATATTAGTGTGGCTTTTTGAATGTTATGGAGATGGATAACCTCATTGTGAACGTTTGAAAGGATGGCTTTCGAAATTGCTGTTCCGAAAGGAAAGGCTGAGGAAATTTGCTCCACAGTGATGTTGGCTCCATGTAGTTTAAGCCATGTTGCTGTGCTGCCCATTCTTCTTCTGAAAATTGCTGCAGTGAACTACTCGCCACATCTTTATGGATATTATTCCCATTAAAATCCTACCAAGTTAAAGCATCATAAAATTAAACTTTAATTCAAAAAGCCACACTTAAATTTGACTATACATATCCATAGATATACATACGAACCAGAATTGTAGTGAAGTAGATCTGTAAAAGGGGGTTTCAAAAAGTGTTACACACACAGAAGTACTTGTATTTCGCCCCATGTATCCCTCTCCGGATCATACAATTTAAAAGGGGTTGTGTATTACACAAGCGGACCAACTGAATAAGTGAATAACGTAACAGAGGAGGGCCCTGACAACCAATTCAAATGAATTTAGTTTAAGGCTGTATTACCCAACTATTATCTCTGCAATTATCTCAACATACATCCACTTGGAAAGCAACAATATGGTTAATCAATTACGCGTGTAACAACTTCAAAATATATTACCCAATAACCTTGCTTGAAGAATATTACATCTATACACCAGCAATTTCAGAACAAAAGATTAGTCAAAATATTTTTTAATTACAATGATAAGTAGAGTTTCAACTTAATTCAAAAGTCTTCAAAAAAACAAAAATTCTTCTTTTAGGATGCCTTCTAACCCATCCAAGCGTTGTACATTTCTGTTGCTAAATCTTCTCGAAATGTAGTCCATGCTTCAGTAGGCCGTAAGTCAACTCCACCAAAATACTCTTCTTCGTCTTCTTCGTCATCGTCCTCATCTTCTTCTATCTCCTCATCCTCCATTGGTTGGATCAATATCGTGTTCACGTCGAATGAAGTTATGCAACAAGGCACATGCCACTATTATCCGACAGCTCATACGAATAGGATACCATGAGGCACTCCGTAAGATGGCCCATCGATTCTTAAGTAATCCAAATCCACGCTCAATGACATTCCTAGCTTGTGAGTGCTTCATATTAAAATACTCATGCGCATTATGAGGGTTATTATTATTTTGCCATTCAGACAAATGATACCTTTGCCCTCTATACGGTGCGAGAAATCCTTCACAATTTGCATACCCTCCGTCAACCAAATAATAACATCCTGTAATAACAACCAAGAATGATAATAAATTGATATTCAATCACATAATTAATATAAATAATAGTTATAAATACATAAAAAATGGTATGCACACACTTATACCTTGTGGAACTCGGAACCTTCTTGACAGGGCATCTCGCAAAACTCTACCGTCTGCGGCTGATCCCTCCCACCCAGGAAAAACATAGATGAATTGCATTTGTGGATTGCACACACCAAGTACATTTGTAGCAATGTTTCCTTTTCGAGAACGAAATCGGTTATGATCTTTTGGTGATACATGAACATCAATATAAGTGCCATCTAGTGCACCCACACAATTCTACAACATTATAGTCATAAATATCACAAACATTTATCATAACTATACATACAGTATTCAATATATTCAGTAAGATAAGCACCTGAAATATTCCCCATCGATCATCACTGCAATCCATTGTAATTGGTTGAGGTTTGGCATACAGAATCGAATGAAGTTGCAACACCGCATGTAATACCTTAGCAACACATGTACTGATTGTTCTCCCAGATCTTTGAAACTCACTTATCAATGTTCTATTTTTTCGATGATGGGATAATACAAGTAGAAAAATAGCTACTTGCTCTTCTACTATCATATGCTTGGTTGGTCTCAACCCACCATTTGTAACCAGCATATCACACAGCTTGAAAAAAGCAACACGACTCATCCGCAATTGGGAAATGCAATTTGCTTCGGGTCCATGTACTAATCTCTTAAAATATCCCTCCCTCTTGGAAAAATTATCTATTAAATAACGAATACCTTGTGTCCGTCTACGCCTTGTAGATAATGCAACAAACATCCACAATATGGTATTCATAAACCATGTTTGAGCATTAAACCACCAATATATAGACTTTCTTCTCAAGGTACGTTTTGAATTTAAAGCACTATGCGCTAATGCATAGTTGTTTGGTGTTTCACTTGCTTCCATTCTCTAAATTTAACAAAAGTGCAGTTAAACATGAATTAAAAGCAAATCATGTTTGTTCAACAATAGAAAAAACAATATAATAATTCTCATTTTTAAAGGTTAGAAGAGGCAGATGTTCTTTGAGGTGAAGCCTGTACAGACATATTTACAAATATAGTACTCATGTTTCTGGAAATATGGATTTCAAATATATTTACACACAGAGAGCCGGAAGAATATAAGAAGCCATGTTTTCACTAACCGGGATTCCTTATACATAAACATAACAATTTGTAATACCATATGTGGGTATATGTGTATATTATATATATTTATATATAATATAGATATATTAAAGTTTCTAGAGTCTAAATAGCATAACAAATAGAGTCGAACCTCTTAAAAAAATTGAGTCGAACCTATTTTAAAATACGATTAAACAATATAGAGGGAAAGTTTTATACTCTGTTTTTTTAGGTTCTACTCTTTAAATATGGATTATAAAGAGTATATGAATTCAAATACAGCAACTTTTTAAAAATACGATTCAATAGGTTCCACTCTTTATATTTTTAAACAGTATATTAATCCAAATACAACAACAAGAAAATTTGACCTATATTAATCGTAAGAGGGGAAAAATGGAAGATAAAAGTACATACCTGGAGGCTGGAGATGGCGTCCTTGCGAGATACGGAGCAAGTATGTCCGTCGAAGGAGAAGAGAAATGTTTCGTTTGCTTCTAGCGAGATAGCACGATGAAAGAAATGGGTACTGTTAATCCTATGAAATAAGGTTATTGTTGACATTTTGTATATAACCCACCTTATAAGCCCAGTGAAGTAAACGTATGTTAGGTTATTTAAGCCCATATTGAAAACAAAGTAAACATGTTCTTAGTAAGCCTTTCTTAATAAGCAATGGCTTACTATCCCATGTCTTAATAAGCATTGCTTATTAAACAACAAAGTAAGCATGTCCTTAGAGTTTTAGGACTTAGATAAGATATTCCTTCTCACGTTAGGACTCGGTTTAAAAGGTAGAAAACCGGAAATCGAATATAAATAGAGATTTTTTTGGAAGAGGGGGACTTATATGGAAATCAAAGCATTAGCATTCAGAAAAGGAGTAAACTCAGTAAAAGATCACAGACAAGCGTCAGCCCTTAAACCAGACTTGGAGTTAATCACATTCAAACAAGTAACATAACTCGCTGATCCAAATGGGCAAACATGAGCCACAGACGATTTAAGTCGATCTAAACTCACCACATCTTAATGCAAGAGCCTTACAATCAGAAATAACAGCAACAAAGCAGAAAACAGTATATTTAAATAAAACAACAAAAATAAAAGCAGTAAAATAAAAGTTCCTCTCTATTCTCACAAACACCTTCACCGGTCCGCCAACCGAGAACAACTGTATCTTCGAGCAAACTGGAGGACCTATTGGTTGAGGTGCGCCTCCTCCCCGTTTTTTTTGCTAATCCAGTGCCATATCTTCACCTGTTGGGGTTTCCTGTTCGTTTTCCTCCCATGTTCTTCTGCGCTTCTGCTCTCCTGACCCTTTCTCCGGGCTCACCGAAATCCCTTCCTTGATAGCACTAGTCCCTGAGCCTATAGAATTTCTTTCCAGTCTTGCGTGTTTGTGTGCTGTCTATCTGAAGTTCACATACTAGTACTAGATGAACCTTCAATAAAACAAATATTTCCCCCTGTGGGGCTAGTCTTCACCCCCCCAGCACGCAGTTCCACTCCATAGTTTTTATCAAAAGTGATATTTACTCCCTCAAACACAAATGAGCAAAATTTATCAAAATGCCCAATAATTCCACACACAAAGCAAAAATTAGGGAGTTTTTCGTTCTTAAAATCCACCCATTGGTTAAAGCCCACCTTTTTCAGATTGGATCCTTTTTCAGAGGTCTCCTAACATCCATACGGACCCTAATTCTCATATAAGTCTCTCAGTTTTCATCAAACCGGCGTTCATCATAGCTAATAAATTTTCTAATATAATTTACCAATATGCCTTGCTGAACCCAAATTCATAAAACCATATGCAGCGTTATGGACTTGTACCCAAAAATTTGCCTCATAAAGACTAACCTGTGAAGGAATATCCTCTGCCTTGATTACTTTAAGCAGTAAAAGATTTCTCTCAAATGACCACGAACCCTCACCTAAAACACGTCTCATATCTAGAACATGATGAAAAGTAAAGATATACCTCTTATCACTAATTTCTTTGATAGAAATCCCTTTGACCGGTCTCCATAGAGATGCTATTAATTCTTTGAAAAACTGAAATTTGATCTTCCGATCCGTAAAAATCATGCCAACAACCGGGAAAATTGCTTTACCTTTGTTTGCTGACTGCTCTTCCTCTTCCTCATCGTAAAAAACGAGCTCCTCCTTATCCTCTCCAATTGCCATGTGTCCATATTGATTGACAAAGTCCTCCAACTAAATAAAACTTCTGATTCGCGCAGCCCTTACCTCCGTCGATGGAGATCGCAAAAGAAAGAGCAGACGATGGAGATTGCCGAAGCTTGTCGATTAAAGCGGGCAGCTCTCCTTCGACAAGGTCGAAGACGGAAGAAGGCTCTGGCAGCTAAAAAGCCCTAGAGAGAGGAAACTTTGAGAAGGCATTTATAAATAAAAATTAAAAGCGTCGATTTTAATTTTTAAATGACTGAATTTGATTAATATTAAAGTCCAAATATAAATAGATTGAATCCCAACCAAATCAAAACTAATTGCAAAAAAATGAAATTGAATGTAAGAAACTGAACAAAATCGTAATTATTTGGTTCCATTCTGGTTATGATATGCCAAAACCAAATCGTAATTGTTTGATTCCGTTCCGGTTCTCTTCCATTATTCACATAATCACATGTGCTAAAAGTTCTCCAGCAATAAAACAGCAATGAGTTTCTAAAGACTGGTTTGGGAATAAAAATAAAGCAAACATTTCATAATTTGTTTTATGCTACAGAGGAATGACTTACCCTAAAATGGGTACCAAAGGTTTATTAGCTTTTCTGTAGGTTCGTCATGTGTGGTATCTGATTGATTGCTCCACACACATGCATAAAGGGCGTGAATGAGCTGCTGAGTAATCAACTCATGCACATTAAGAAGGAGATTATATGCATGCATACTACCTCACAGAAAAATCATCAAATGCACACTTTGAGAGGTATTTCTTTATTTTCTCCTCCTTGGAGCCTACATACGCCAAGTGCAAATTTTGAGCGGGGGTGTTTTCTTTTTCACTTCTCTTTGTGTCAAACACCGATGAACAGACACTTTAAGGGGTACTTTTCAATATTTCTCCTCGATGTTGAACAACAGTACTTGAAAATTTTGAGGAGGAACATCTATATTTCCTACTGGCGCCGAACAATGTGTAATACAAGGTTACTCAAGGATGCACATTTTGAGGGGGAATTTTCATTTTTCTACTCCCGACGCCAAACAACGACAAATGCATGTCTTACACAGTGCTCCTGTTGAGGGGGAGAAATAGAGTTAAACTCTCAATGGCTCGGTCAAACCTACTGTCATGCCTGTCCTGTATGGTTGATAGCCTAGGGGCGGAGAATTAAATTTGATCTAATCTTAAAAAAATGGTAAATCCCTTTTCTGTCTAAACTGACATGCATAATAATAGTAGTACTAATGATGATAATAATAATAATAATAATAATAATTTTAATTATAATAATTATAATAATAATGATAATGATAATGGTAATGATGATGATCATAATAATAATAATAATATAACAATAACAACAACAACAACAACAACAACAACAACAACAATAACAACAATAATAACAATAATAATACTCCCTCAGTCCCATTTTGTAAGATATGTTTCCTATTCACTTGGTCAACACAAATCACTCTTAAACTCTTATTTTATATATCAAATTTTTATCAAATTTGATTCTGCTTTTTGTGACTTTGTAAAGCTTTAATGTAGTTTCTAAATATGTAATTCTTTTTTTCGAAAAATAGTTTGAGTGCAGATAGGGATCATTTGCTTTATCGTCGGTCAAACATCGTAAACCGTAAAATGCCTTACAATTCGGGACGGAGGAAGTAATGATGATGATGATGATGATACATGTTTGTTTAAAAATGCAGTTATTGAACGCAAATCAACTAATCCATTTTCTTCAATTCCAAACTACAATAAGTTTGAAACTGCAATTATATCCGAGATCAACTAATCAAACATTTCAGCACAATTGGTTGTGAGGTTACCGTGCCTAGTGAGAGATTTCGAGTTCGAAATCCGCTAGGCACATATGGGTTCGAAACTCAATGGATTGAGTTTCGGCCCAGATTACTCCAAGCCCCCCCCCCCCCCCCCCCCACCACCACACCCCTTGGAGTAATAAAATAATCCTAGAACAACTAGCTATTTAATTTTTTAAAATCGAAACTAGTGAATAACAGGTGTAGAACTTAGACCGCAAATATATCAATTACTCCGTACTAATACAGCATGCACTTATCAATATTTAATTTACTAATGTATTAGATATATTATTTGATAATAGGTGAGTCATTTTATGTATAATTATGGATGGTCACTTGCATTGGTGGTCATTTTATTTACTAAAATGGATCTTATTTGCCCAGCCATCACACAATTTGCTACATCATATCTTATGTTGCAAAATATGCAGTGTAAAAGATTCGTCAGAAGAAATGCTTGTCTCATAAGAATGGTCAACTCGTCATTTATCCAATACCTCATAGGCAAAGAAGGTGAATCAAATAGTGCTGATGTTTCAGCAAAATTTTGATAAACTAAAACTAATTAAAATCACTACAAGAAAAAGCGCTTTTTGCGTCGACAAAAAGTCGACGCAAAAAGCCTGAAGTCGACGCAAAATTCCGTTGCAGTAGCACCTCATACGCCATCCAAATTCTGATGTCTTCGCCGTCGTATTGGCTTCTACTCTATCGTATCTCACGTTGCTATTGGACGACTTCTTCAAGTCTTCAAGTAAACCCGTCGGGTGCTTCTCCAGCCTGCAGGAGCGAAGCTGGAGATAACAGGACTTGGAGTCGGGCGAGGGCGGCAGAGATTAGAGGCGTTGGAGGGCTAGGGTTTTGGCCCGAGTGCGAATGCCGAGAGGGGACTGCGGGAGCTCCATGACTGCGATTTGGAGAAAGGCAGAGCAGGGATCAGTTGGAGGGCTAGGGTTTTTGTTCTATTATATTGCTCCGAAATTATAATACTGGCTACGGAGTCAGGAGTCCTGATTAAAACATTAATTTCATTAGCGTCAACAAAAATAACGCATCCTCATATCTTTTGGTAATATTTCTTAATTTTTTTGCTTCCACATGTTGACGCAAATGACCTATTATTTGTGTCCATAGGTGTTGACGCAAAAGAGTTGGGCGCAAATAATACTTTTTCTTGTAGTGAATGGAAATTGTCTATTGTATATTGATTGAGTTTCGTACAAGAACACTAACAAAGATGACAAGAACAACAAGAAGGATGTCAAGTGAGAAAAATACAATGTAAATTGATGTGTAAATCGAATGAATGGCCTGCTATTACAATTGAGCTTGATCCTACTTATAAGAGAGGTAATTAATGTTCTTTTGTCCGTTGTTGACGGCTTCGACCGTTATGACGACATTCAAAGTTGTCATTATGTCGTCATTAACATCGGTCAGCCCATTTACGTAACTCCTTCTTTAATTACATTAATAGCTGCAATAAACATATAAAAATCGTTATAACAACTATTATCATTAAGACTAATAAGTGTGTCATTAATTGTCATGGTCAACTCTCTTGAATATGGAATAAGTTGTCAAATTCCTGCACCAACAATTGCCCCCTTTCGAGAAGTTGAGGCGCATCATGCATATACCGACCTATTAAGCATCAACTTGTCGAAAATTTGAAAGAACACTTCACATCTTGGTTCATTGCATTTGTTAGCTCGTCGATGACTTGACGTGACATATTGATCAACTTGTCTGGCGAAATGTTGCCGTCTTTCTTTCGAGTAACTTCCGATCAAATCTTTCTTCTTGACTAAAATAATGAAGACTGAAAGCTGACATTTTGTCTTCTTCAATTCCATCTGAAATTGTGCTGACGACTTGATGACATAAATTTGCAACATATTTCATATCGATGTTGACACTTCAGCCGCCAGAGGGGACATCATCCGTCGTTGAAGATGACGAGTTGGGTTGTGTAAACTCGGTCCATATCCTGCAAAAATTTTGAATAACGTTTCGTTTGTATTTTTAGCAATATTGTCGACATGCAAATACACTTATTTCGTAACCCGCAATAGTATACACATCCGCGTGTACTATAAGTTACCCATTTATAAATTACTCATTTTGTATTTGCATTATTCTTAAATACGAAGTATGTTTTTAGGATGTTTTTACTTGGACTATAATTTTCTGGTCTGGTCTGGTCTGGTTTGGTCTAATCTGGTCTGATCTGGACTGGTTGGGTCTGGTTTCTTTGTATTTTTATAACTACCCAAGTCTGGTCTGGTCTGTTCTGATCTGGTCTGGTCTGGAACAAATTACAGTCCAAGTAAAAACATCATTTGTCACTGTGATTATGACGCACTTTTTTTTAATTAGATCTTATATTCTTTTATTGTTTTTCAACTCTGCAATATAATACCCCCTCCGTCCCGAAAAGGTTGGTCAAAGTTGACTTTAACGTGGATTAATAAAGTAAAAATTGTGTGGTTGAAATTTGTACAGAGAAGAGAGAATTAACTTTACCCATATATTCCTTACTTTAAATGGAAATGGTCAATCTTTTTGAGACATCTAAAAAAAGAAAATTTGGCCAACCTTTTCGGTACGGAGGGAGTATATGAATATTTTTAATTGATACTTCGTACGTATATAACGTAGTCTCAAATATTCTAACTATGAAAAAAAATCTAACTATGAAAAATCAATCAAATCCAACCTGTTTCTAATCTCTTAAAGTCAACTTTTGATTAATTTTTAGAGATTATTGATGACTTGCCACGGAGCAATACTAAAATTCTTATCAGCAAACATATATTGTTAAAGTGTTCTTGAAACAAACAACTACAAAAATGAAAAACAAAAATAACAAATTTACACGGATATGACCACATGACACAAAAAAGCATAGTACTAGTATATTAAAGCTTTTATATTTACTAGATTTTCACCCGCGCGATGCGCGGGATATTAAATGTAATAGCGATGCGACAATATTTGATAAATTTACTTGGTCATGTTAAATGTATGGAAATTGTTATAGACGCGAGATGCAGAATAAGTTATAATTAAAGATCAGATAGTGAGAACTCAGGGATAGGTAGTAAGTATGTTTCAGAATAAGTAGATAAAAGTAAATGCTATATAGGGCTTCACAATCTACACATTGCGAAACACTTCCTTATAAACTACATTGGTGGTATGGTCAGTTGACTGACCATCTTCATCGCAGATCAATATCTTCAAACCCTTGGGATTCGTTACCCTTGACACTGCAACATACAGTTGACCATGCGTGAAGACCGATTTCTTCAATAAGAGTCCAACGTGGGACAAAGATTGTCCCTGACTCTTATTTATAGTCATTGCATAAGAGGTCATAACTGGAAACTGTCTTCTCTGAAATTTGAATGGTATTCTTGTATCCGAAGGAGTTAAGTTTAACCTCGGAATGACAACCTCATGCCCAGCATATTTTCCGCCCATTATTTTTGCCCCTAGGATATGATTTCCAAGTCGCGTAACAATTAATCTTGTTCCATTGCAAAGCCCCATTGAAGGATCAATATTCCTTAAAAGCATGATTGGAGTACCAACCTTTAGGGTTAACTCGTGGTTTGGAACTCCGGATGCACGTATTTTGTTCAGAAATTCTGGAGTATGCAAATCAGCCAGAAAATCGGCATTGGAGTCTGACTTGCAAATACTATCTGAACTTAAATATGTCCTTGACTCTTCACTAACATTCAAAGATGTCATGTATTCGTTAATTGCATCCACCACATCAAGGGTTGGAGCCAGAATTGCACGCTCTTGCAAGTAAGATGGGTCATTGACAATTTTTTCAAAGTCTGGATATGTGCTTTGAACAATAGTGGCAATGGGGTCGCCACCACACTGTAACAAAAGGTGACTTGGAATTTGGACATTGGCAAAGCCGTCATTATCTTCTCCCGCAGTTCCGTCTCCCAAACTCGCAATCCACTTTGCAAACTCTACCAAATCATCATATTCACGATCATCCGTCAATGATTGCAACCTCATGTTCTTCGTCAAACGCAAAACAATGCATTCACGCCAAATATAGGAAGAATTAATAGTTGCATTGACAATGTCTTGTCTAGTACCCTTTGTTACAACTGGTAAAATCTGTCGAAAGTCTCCACCGAATACAACCGTTTTCCCTCCAAACGGTTTTTCAGCACTATTTGAATTAGTGAATCTCAGGATGTCCCTCAAACTTCTATCTAAGGCTTCGAAACAATACTTGTGCATCATCGGCGCCTCATCCCATATGATGAGTTTGCAACGAATTATCAATTGCGCTAGT